ACCCGTAAGGTGGCGCTCCTCTGTTAAGAACGTAAGCTCCGCCCCTCACTTCCGGTTCTGTGGCTGCGGTTCTGAAACTGCTGGTGCTGCGGGTCTGCAGCGGGATACTATTGGCGCGATGAGATGTCGCGGCCGCGGTGCATGCTGGGACTGTGGGTCCTCCAGGCGCGCCTCCATCTTTAAACCCCAGAGAAGAAGCGCTTCCGCTCCGGACTCACACGGGATCCTGCGCCCACATCCACACCTCTGACACACGGACTCCGGATCTGCGCGGTAACCGGAAGCAGCGGAAGCGCTCGACTGTGGCATAATAAAAGCTCCGGTGCTTTCCAGCCATGTGTCGCGCTCGTTCAGTGCCTCGTTCATTAGCTCATCCATGAACATGATTTCTGCCCGAGTCCCGTCGGATTGCATCGGCTGTGGGGATGAAGACCACAACTCCCATGATTCCACACTCAGTCACGCCGTCATCAAACTACGCCTTTGCCTCTTTGTTTATCACGCCCTCTAGCAGCGAAAATTACATATTGTGCCTTTAAGCAGATCTTGAGAACAACTGATCCAGTCCATCGTGCACTTCACAGTTTTACATTATCGCTTATGGGTAATGAGGTCTCGTCTCGCTGAAATCTTGCCAGTTACCTGCCGACTGCTCTTTCAGGAGTCCTACCCGTCGACGCCGCCGATATGGTGCGTGGAGTCCGATGACCCGAGCCTGACGCAAGTGCTGGAGCGGCTGGAGGACGTCAGGAGGAGCAGCACACTGGTAAGCACATTTAATAAATGATATCAGATTGAGATTCAGTTTATGGACAGTTTTACTCAATGTTAGGGGTGTATCGGTACACGTATCCTTCGGTTGGGTGCGCATGTGTACCGAACAAATACAGCGATGTTTTAACTAGGGATGCACCGAATGTTCGGCAACCGAATAAGAGAATGGTACATATCATAAATCATAGATGGACAGGTAAAATGTAAAGCTTCAGGAACAGCAGAGGAAGCAACAGAAGCAGAGAATGTACTGCTATCAACAGCATTTACATGACGATATGATCTTTAAACCCCAGAGAAGAAGCGCTTCCGCTCCGGACTCACACGGGATCCTGCGCCCACATCCACACCTCTGACACACGGACTCCGGATCTGCGCGGTAAACCGACACAGAGCTCCGGGGAGCTGACGGGAGACGCGTTCGCCGCGTGAGGAGCTTCATTCCCGCGCTGACACCCACAGAAACAGCGGCGCACCTCTTCTTCTTTTGTCCGCCTCTCTCTCCGGTTTCTCTTCTCTTAATGCACGGTGCCGACCGTATTTATGTGAATACACACCAGTGCAGGCATTTTGACACTCCATGTTTTTACCGTTTTAGGTGCGCCACCGAAGACAAATCTGCTATGCTTGTCGGTGTTCCACTCGGACCTCGCGCGCAGAAAACATCCAGTCAGAAGCGGATTGAGTTCTGTTTCGCGGATTTGAGTTTTTAATACTGTCTGTCTTTTTAATATCAAGAATGCCCCGCTCTTTTTTGTCTCATTCATTCACGTTCCTTTATTAATAACGCTAACAGTCCCACCCGCTGAGAGCTGCGCGGAAAAAGCGAAAGTAACCGGCGAAATGTTTCAAAGTATAAAACAAAGTATATGTTTCAGTCCTGTCCCTTTTTTACATACTTTTACACTTTTTCTGCTGTTCAAAAAATCTTTCTTTTCGCTATTACCACAAAGCTACGAATCGCCGGGGAGCCATAGGTTCCCGACCTCTAGTTCCAGCAAAAAACTATCGGTGCCGATTAATCGGCAAACCGATACATCGGTCGACCTCTAGTTTTGACGCGTTGTGTCGTGACCGATCTCTGTATAAACGCCTCGGCGCAATCATCTTTACTACTAGTTTAAACGCGAAATAAACATGAATGAACATCTCACGCCTCGTGTAATCGCTCAAACAGTGTTTCAGCCACGGAAAGACGGCAATAAAACCGCTTGTAAACAAAATGTCACGTAGCATTTAATTTCCCTCTGGAAGTCATCAGTGTCCACAGCTCGTTAGTGCGCGATAAATGAAGTCTAGAGAAGAGCACACTGGTCTCTAAGGTCTCTGCACACTGTGTCCGAATTTTTCGTCCGAAATTTTTCGCACGTTGAAAAATAAATACGACCTCACGTTGTGTCAATCACGTTTACACACTGCCTCCGAAACTTTCGTCCGTCATAAAAAAATTCGGACCAGGTTCGGTTTTCTGCGTTTTCGCATCCGTAGCAAGCATTTTGATAGGAAAGGATGACGAATACGAAAAAAAAAAAATGGAAAAACGCATACGAAAATTTCGGACTCAGTGTGCAAGGACCTTTAGTAATATCTTAAATATTTAATGTATGTTTAAATAAATCTGTTATAAACCAGTTATGACAGCCACTGTGTAAATTGCAATAACAAACTGCATTATGTGCAATTTACATGTTTGCGTACATTTTATTATTATTTTTTTTAAGTTGAGTATTGATTATTATATTTAAATATAAATAATAATTAAATTTAAGTTTGGGCTTTGCAACTGCGGAAAGACGGCAATAAAACCGCTTGTAAACAAAATGTCACGTAGCATTTAATTTCCCTCTGGAAGTCATCAGTGTCCACAGCTCGTTAGTGCGCGATAAATGAAGTCTAGAGAAGAGCACACTGGTCTCTAAGGTCTCTGCACACTGTGTCCGAATTTTTCGTCCGAAATTTTTCGCACGTTGAAAAATAAATACGACCTCACGTTGTGTCAATCACGTTTACACACTGCCTCCGAAACTTTCGTCCGTCATAAAAAAATTTGGACCAGGTTCGGTTTTCTGCGTTTTCGCATCCGTAGCAAGCATTTTGATAGGAAAGGATGACGAATACGAAAAAAAAAATGGAAAAACGCATACGAAAATTTCGGACTCAGTGTGCAAGGACCTTTAGTAATATCTTAAATATTTAATGTATGTTTAAATAAATCTGTTATAAACCAGTTATGACAGCCACTGTGTAAATTGCAATAACAAACTGCATTATGTGCAATTTACATGTTTGCGTACATTTTATTATTATTTTTTTTAAGTTGAGTATTGATTATTATATTTAAATATAAATAATAATTAAATTTAAGTTTGGGCTCTGCCTCTGTTGTTAATTGTAACCTTATAGTAATAGTTTAGAGCATAAACTGAGGAAGATTTTTATCCCTAAGAAAATTTATTAAATTTATTTAAAGAGAGCAATTTGTTCAGTAAACCACTGTTTAATAATAATAAAAAAAAGCAATTGTATGTTTATTTTTTTCCCGTATTTTAATTTATACAGTTCTGTTGTGCAGCATCTTATTTGACAGAAATAAAACGGCAATGTTTCGTCGCAGGTTAGTTACATTTTCATTTGATTACAATGTAAAAGATTGTTAAAGTTGTATTTATTGATTTCATTTGACACAATTTTATGATAAACTTGTGTGAAATCGTGAAACACAGAATTTAGGGAAAAATGAACTGGATTTAAATTAAAAGGTAGCTACTCGTCCGAGTTTAATTGTGAACGAACAAGATCTATTTCCATTTATTCTCAAGGTCTAACAAACATCAAAGCATTTCCTTCCCCATTAATAGTAAATGAGTATCACGAGGAATAACAGTATCGTATCATATGGTAAAGATATTGCCGTAATATCATCCAGCGCTTTCATTGCAGGATCCAGATCTTCCCTTACTTTAAGTCATATCTAACTTGTCTTCTCATTAGGAGGTTGTGTGTGACAGTAAATCAGGTAATTAGTAATCTCTTCCATTTGTGTGTGATCTCAGTGATAGCCGTGTGCTGCAGAGCAGAGCAGGTGTTGTAATCATGATGCTTTGAACAGCAGTAAATAGTAATTACCAGCCTAGCTCCACTGTAATCGAGTAGAGCGTTACACAACAAACCAAATGGTGTAATATGAGTGTGCACTACTGAGTGAGCTCAGACTGATCACGTACACTTCAGAAGCTGGGTTCTTTTAAGCTAAAGCTTTGAATTTGATCTGCTCCTGTTGTGTTCTGAGCAAGACTCGCCTCACCTGCACTGACGACTTAAACAGGTTCATAAAAAGTTATATTGACCTATTAAGATTTTGCTTACATCTACATTGTAAATATATTTTTTTGCTATTTTTATTAAATTTTTTTTCAGAAGTAAATCAATAACAATTACATTTTTAACAACATTTCAAGTGTAATTCATGAGATTTGTTGTATTTTTAATCCAGTTTTTCTTTGTAAAAGGCACAGAGTTGATCATACTGATTTCACAGTTAAGGATTCATTAGTTTGAATATACACTGAACCAAACACTCTCATAACAACTTAGTTGATAATTCAGTATGCTTTATTTTTTGATAAAACCTCCCATGTTTCGGTAGCGACCACATCACAATACAGAATTTTAACTCGCATACTTCTAAACACTACTAAAACATACTAAAATACTAAATATTTGCATAATTGTACTAAAATATTAGTATTTCCCCTAAATAAAGGATTATGTGTTCCGTTTTGTCATGATGACATGTTTCGGTAGTGACAATTTTATGGGATAACAGCCAAAAAACAAAACAAAGATGTCACCGAAACTCTGTTCTGAACAGTTGTACACGCATAAAAATTAAATGATATAGAATAACTCACAAAAAAGTGTGCTTAATTGCAGAAAAAACAATTTTATGGGATAACAGCCAAAAAAAAACAAAGATGTCACCGAAACTCCACCAAATGTTTCGCTAGTGACAATTTTAGATACTTTTGAACCTATCTCAAAGATGCTAAACAGCACATGGTTAGCTAGCACAGTTCTGAACAGTTGTACACACATAAAAATTAATATGGAATAACTCCCAAAAAAGTGTGATTAATTGCAGAAAAAAAGTGTTTGCTAGTGACGTTCCTTACAGTTACACACAGATTTTTCAGACTTTTGAACACATTTATCTAAAAATGGTGAGGCCTATCTACTATCTACCTGTAGCTATGAGAGAGACACATTAATATTTCCTGATCATAAATGTGTAGTTAATTTCAGTCTCAGCCAGTGGACTAAAACATCCATTGTTTCGGTAGTGAGTGACATGAAAATGCGGAAAGTTTCATAATTTACAAAGAAAATATAAAATAAATATTTTTTAACTATTTCATTAAATATTTTTTAAAAACAACAATGGAATAAAATGATTTCAATATTTTCACAAGTTGAAATTAAGGGGTTAGGGTTCGGGACAGCCACCTCCCAATTGAAAGTACCCAATAAACGCTGATTTTATATATATATTAAGCTTACTGATATTTTAAATATTATTGTGGGTTTCAATAGGATCTTGGTAAACATCTCAGATTTGAATACTGAAATGATTTTTAAATGCATATTAAGATAAATTTGCACCAGTTCTGTAGAATGGCCCACGAGTGAACTATGAATCTTTCTCATTCGGCACCAATCCAAATATGTGCACTTTATAACTGTTTTGCATGCTTAATGTTAAATGCATTATATAAGTCTCTTGCAGCACATTTCAGATGATTAAAAAAATGCTTAAATTACAGAAGATGTGGTAGGTTTATATTTGGCCTGCAGATTCCAGTTGACTTTTTGCTGCAGCCACTTAAACGCACACAAATAATGACGTTCCTTATAGCCGCAGTGCAAGAGTTTACAGATAAAGTGAATATTTAGTATGAATTGATGTGGTGCAGCATCAGGATGTGAGGTTTTGATATGTGCATCCTTCACGTGAGCACAAAAGACAGATAATTTCAGAAGATAACGTGTTTTGAAGTATGATTATGAAAATATGTTACACAGCATTGTTCTTTTGAATAGCATGCAAAAATATTAGGGTCCCCTGTGTTTCTGCAGGAAAACCTGGCCATCCTGGAGAAGATCCGCAAGAACCAGCGGCAGGACCACTTGAATGTAAGTGCTCACTCGGTAAGGGACTTTCCTTATGTTTCAAATAGAGGCTTTTGTCTCACAGTCCTGATTAGATGCAAGAGGTTCGGTTTGATGTCAGAGTGAATGTTGATGAAATAATGAAATTATTTATTTAAAGATAGCGATATATGTGACCCTGCAGCACAAAAGCAGTGTTAAGTCGCTGGGGTATATTTGTAGCAATAGCCAACAATACATTGTATGGGTCAAAATTATCCATTTTTCTTTTATGCCAAAAATCATTAGGATATTAAGTAAAGATCATGTTCCATGAAGATATTTTGTAAATCTCCTACTGTAAATATATCAAAACTTAATTTTTGATTAGTAATATGCATTGCTAAGAACTTAATTTGAACAACTTTAAAGATGATTTTCTCAATATTTAGATTTTTTTGCACCCTCAGATTCCAGATTTTCAAATAGTTGTGTCTCAGCCAAATATTGTCCTATCCTAACAAACCATACATCAATGGAAAGATTATTTATTCAGCTTTCAGATGATGCATAAATCTCAATTTTGAAAAATTGACCCTTATGACTGGTTTTGTGCTTTAGGGTCACGTATATCAAACATCTATTTTCTGTAAATAAGGTTGCGATGACATCTACATTTTAGAGACTAGCGAAAATTCACAATTCTCAACACCGCAGCAGAATACTAGGGTAACTCATATTAGTAAAAAACAACAAAAAAAAAGTCCTCAGAAATTATTGAAAATAATTAAACGGTCAGTAATAAAAAAATAAGTCTAAAGTATTCAGCTATTACAGAAACGGAATAATCGAATGAAAAATAAAACAGCATAGTCTTCTCTGTAAGAATTAAACTTCCTTTGTTTCTCATTAAAGCTACAAAAGTCCTTCAGTCGAGAGCAGTGAGTGATTTTCTCTCGGTCTTCTGTTGTTTAATTAACATTAAGCACACAGTCTCAGCAGGAATATTAGGCTGCTGTCACTTTAAGAGACGCACGGATCCCATTTACTGTTACACACGTATTTTCATTCTCAACTGCTTACGTTCACATAACGTTCACTTTATCTCCATTATTGTATTTTCATAATCGTTGATCGAAATCGAAACTGTATTTGGATTAATTGCACAGCTCTAAATGAAATGTTGATTGAAGTGTTCAGGCGTGCAAACTACTCGCCTTCTGGTGAACTTTGCTGTTTTGAATCTGAAATGTATAGAAATGTAAATGGCACTCACATTATTGCTTCTGTAAGACCTTGTTCACTCTAATCATGACTGCAGAGTTTTCAAAGATTAAGCCACTTCTGTCAAATGTGTCCTGTAACTGACTTTAATGTTCAGTCATTTTAACCCGGAGATGATTTTCTTTTTCCTGAAAATGCTAGTTAATGTCATTGCTTTGGACTTAAACTTGCTCACTTTGCTCAGACATGCTATAACAACTACCCAAAACATTTTGGGATCATTTTTGTACCTATTTAGGACCCCCCCCACCTTGTTATGTGTTTCTTCCTCACATCTGTGATATTGTTTAACCCTTTTCTGTGCTGAAAATCCTCTACCTAATTTAGTATTTCCAGTCAAAAATGACCAGCCTACAAAAAATTGCTTCTAAATCTCATTATGCAATATTATCACCTAATATTGGTATCAATCTTTTTGTCAGCTTGTTTTCTTTCAATTAGGACTGGTTTTGTTTATTTTTGGAACTGATTTATCGTAGGCCTCATTAATCTGAGCTTACATACATCAGTTTTTTTTTTGTGAAAAAAGCGTTATTTGTGGATAATTTTGTCAATATTAAATAAAATATGAAAAAATGTGCACTGTTTATCACACTAGCATGTTCTAATGTTTAACCAAGAAACTTGGTTTGAAAAGCTTTTATTTTGTACAAAAAAAACAAACAAAAAAAATGCTATTTGGATCAGCCTGTAACTTTAGTTTTTTACATTGATTTTTGGTGTGTTTTAAATCCAGCCCTCAGTGTGTTGATGATTTTGGTTTCCATTGACTGTTGTCACATATAGACTGTATATAAATAAAGATTTTTAAATTGCATATTTCATTCATTGAGATCCAATATATGATTTAAGTGTTCCCTTAATTTTTTGAGAAGTGTGTTTGCAGGCACAAATACATATGTGAACATGAACATGATCAACATGCTTCTGAACACTAAATATTTCTCAGTTTTCCAATCTCCCTCATTCATTTTCAGTGGATGGTCATTTTTGACCAATAGAGCCAAGATGAATAAGGCCTACAATCAGTTGGTATCAAATTTAAATACAAAACCAGTCCTGATTAAAGGAAAACTAGTTGACAAAAAGATTGAATCCCTGTGTGAACAAAGTCAGTAAATCTTAGTCCAATGCGATTGACCCGAACACAGCCTGAGGGGCATTTGAACTATTTAGTATTTTAATCTTGATTTCACTATATAAGCTAGCATGCATTAAATAACATTTGCCCATCAGCAGTAGGGTTGCAAAGGGGTGGAACATTTCCGGAAACTTTCCAAAAATCCCTGGAATATTCAAAAAAATCCTGAAAAGTTTCCAAAATTTCTGGAATATTTCCAAAATTTACTGGAAATCTTCCACCTTTTTGCAACCCTAATCAGCAGTTTGGAGATATAATTCAATAATGACAATATCATAATCAATAGCGCTTCACATTCCCCTTGAGGTAATTTCACTGAATTTCAAGATGAACTTTTCTATGTTTTATTAATAAAAATCATTTGAAAAGGTCACAAAGCTTAAATTATAAGTATCTCCCCAGACTTTCTCTCGGTTTGTCATTGATCTGAGCTGGAGTTGTGTGGATTGATTTGAGTTCACCTGTACGTTGTCTGTCTTATGTCTGACGGGGTGTGTTCTGTCGGGTCCTGTAGGGCGCCGTGTCTGGATCTGTTCAAGCGTCGGATCGCCTCATGAAGGAGCTCAGGGAGATCTACCGATCTCAGAGTTATAAAAACGGTAAAGTAGCGTGACTGTGAGCGACTGGAACGACCGGCGCGACGCTCTGATCTGATTTAGTCTCTTTTCCAGGCATCTACTCTGTGGAGCTGGTCAACGACAGCCTGTACGAGTGGCACGTGAAGCTCAGGACGTAAGTCACCCTTCCTCTGGGCTTTACATTACTGCTTAAGTATTGCTGGGCGCTCAAATGATAACCATAATTATCACGATATATTTTGCCCTCGATAGAATGATAACATGCATTTACTGTAGTAACACTGAGTGCACTGTGTTATTGTGGCAGAAATGTGAGATATGCATGTGGAATTTTATTAGATTATTCATGTAGACAAGTATTAAAGGAGTAATGGTTGTTATTAAGCTACAGCATTTGTGCTTTTGTATTTATACTGCATGTATTTTGGCTGCTGTTTTTCATACAAATACTATAGTTATAAAACAGATAGTTCCGGTGCTTGATTCTGATTGGCTGAGCCACGTTCGAAGCTGTTGTAAATTACTCTACAAAGTAACATACACCTTTGTTTACTTCTGTGTGTTGCTCGGCAACCACTTTGTTGGAACCACAACTGTTTCTGAGGAACTATCTGTTTTATAATACTGTTTTTATTTATATCATTACACTTTTTTTATTTGCTCTGTTTTATTCTGTGAAACCTTACTACGTATATGGAATAACCGTTTTATAAAAGCAATAAGCCTCCGCTTCGCATCATACCTAACAACGCCACTTAGCTGTTATAAATTCACTGTAAACCACGGCTTCACGGGGCTTATTGCTTTATTTTACCCTTGGTTAGCATGATCTAGTTGTGTGATACTGTAAATGACCAGTGGTTAATTCTAATAAAACTCAAACAGTCAGAATATTTCAATTTTACCCTATAAATATGAGGTAGTTACCGTTTTTACAGATGTTGCTGTTTTTGTTAATGAACATAAATTGACATAAATTGAAACCATATCAGCCTTTAGAAGATGCAGATACTAAGAAATCGATTTAAGGTATTTTAAGGAAAAAAGGCTGAAAAGGATTTTACTTCAGTTTACTCGTGCATATTTCGATGTAGAAAAAAATATTGTATTATAAATGTTTTGAATATTGTAGCTCAGATTTGTGAAATGTTGACCTGTTTGGCAAGTGTTAGTCATGTTCTGACAAAGAAGGAAAAGAGTTGTTTAAAACCACAATGAACTGTCTGGTCTTTCGGTCTTTCGCTCAGCAGAAGAAATCTGCCTTTAACCTTGAAAGAGATAAAGATTTGGCATTTATCATGAGAATGATCAGTATCGGCTGATATGAAGAAACGCATTGTGAAGTGTTTTTGGTGGTGTGGCCCAGCCCTGTGCTGAAGTGTAAGGCTTGGCAGAGTTTCGGGAGAGCTGAAGGTGTGTGTGTGTGTGTGTGTGTGTGTGTGTTCTTGTGCTCAGTGTGGATCCTGACAGTCCTTTACACAGCGACCTGCAAGTGCTGAAGGAAAAGGAAGGCATAGACTACATCCTCCTCAACTTCTCCTACAAAGTGAGTCCGCTGGCTCTACTGAGCACACAATTCAGCCTAAACCTGTGTTTTATTTTAAAGATATATTTGTGACCGTGCAGCACAAAAGCAATCTTAAGTCGCTGGGGTATATTTGTAGCAATAGCAAACAATACATTGTATGGGTCAAAATTACTGATTTTTCTTTTATGCCGTCAAAATTATAGATTTTTCTTTTATGCCCAAAATCATTAGGATATTAAGTAAAGATCGTGTTCCATGAAGATATTTTGTAAATTTCCTACCGTAAATATATCAAAACTTAATTTTTGATTAGTAATATGCATTGCTAAGAACTTCATTTGGACAACTTTAAAGATGATTTTCTCAATATTTAGATTTTTTTGCACCCTCAGATTCCAGATTTTCTAATAGTTGTATCTCGACCAAATATTGTCCTATCCGAACAAACCATACATCAATGGAAAGATTATTTATTCAAAAAAATTGACACTTAAGACTGGTTTTGTGGTCCAGGGTCACATACATATATACATATTTTTGTTTTCACAAGTAAAAGTAAAATGTGTTTTTTTTTTTTTTTTTTTGAGTCGGCAAGATTTGTGGACAACTGTATTTTTACCTTACAATAATTGTTCAACTTAATTATTATATGTATGAATACTTATCACTTTTGGAAAGGATTTTAACCAAGTAAATCCAAATCTAGTCTTAAGATTTTTAGGGGAAATCTTATTTAGTTGTTTTTAATGTTAATAGTTTTTATAATTTTTTTAATAACTAAACCTGGCTCTCCTCATGAACAGCTTTAGAAGCTGGCATGGCATTATGATGAAAAAACAAAACAACAATCTATATGTACGTTTGTTTGCCGTAATAGCGAATCTGTTCTCGTCTGTCTGCAGGATAATTTCCCCTTTGATCCTCCGTTTGTTCGTGTGGTTTCTCCTGTCCTGTCTGGAGGGTAAGATCACTTCTCAGGCTTTTTTTCTGTGTTGTTGTTAGCTGTGTTCCTTACGTTAGGGGTACTATGTTGATAACACTGTCTATGAAGCCCGTGTTTATAATACATTATAAGAGTATTCTTAAGGCATTATAATGAATGCATAATGCATTATAAAAAACCTTATGTTGTTTCATCTCATGATTAATTGTAACAATAGTTTTCATGCATTATAATATTTACTTGTTTGTTTTTATAGCTTTTAAGAGTATGATGATTTATAACACGCAATGAACACAATGCATCCACTTAACTCACAATAGATTATATTTCCCATAGTTATAATGGATTATGAGTCTCATATCTTGCCATTGTTGACTCGTTACTTTACTTAAAGCAGACAAACACCACTTAATAACAACAACAATAATAATAACAATAATATTTTTTCTTAAACAGCTGTAAGATCAGATATCTGATCAGATGAAAGTGTAATATGGCACATTTGATTTTAACTATATTTATTGTAATACCATTAAGATACTGTACAGATCTTAAATAAATAATGTCGAGATATGAGACTTATAACCCATTATAAATTAAGAGGATTTAACGTGGTGTTTATTGCATGTTATAAATAATCACACTCATAAAAGTTATAACCACAAATACGTTTTAGAGTGTATTGTAATTGTTGTTAAGATTATTTACATATTATAAGTTTCTTTTATAATGAATTATGCATTCATTAGAATACCTTTATAATGCGTTATAAAATAAGCTTCATAGAAAGTGTTACCAGACTTTATAAATGTGCATGCAGAAGCGTTTATTCGTACTAATGCATAACTCTTCACATTCATTCATTCATTATATATCTGTTACACATGCAGTGTACTAGCTGAACTATTAAGCAGCGTTGGACTGGAGTTTGTATTATTCAGCTCTTTATGCAGAACATAAAGGAAACCCGGTTGACCGGTGGTTGTGTTATTTCAGGTATGTTCTTGGCGGAGGAGCTCTGTGTATGGAGCTGCTCACTAAACAGGTGCGTTTGCTTTAACTTCCTCCTGGACTAAAAACGCCTCAACTTAACTAAACCAGTCACATCATGGATTTATTTGTTTATGCATGCATTTGTCCCCTTATAATGTTAGGCAAGGATTTAAGATGTTAAATGTCCGATGTTTTCAAATTGCATCAAACTCCTGAATTTAAAAAGGTCAGAGAAAATGTTCTCACTCCTGAGACGAGCTCTTATGACTGTGCTGATACACAGCTGCTGTCAGACAGGTGTGTGTGTGTGTGTTTACTGACTGATGTGTGTGTGTTTGCTCTCAGGGCTGGAGCAGTGCCTACTCCATAGAGTCTGTCATCATGCAGATAAATGCCACTTTAGTCAAAGGAAAAGCAAGAGTGCAGTTCGGAGCCAATAAGGTGAACGCTATGCATTTGATTATATATTTGAAATGTAACTTTAATTGCACAACAGAAACAGAATACTGTGTTATGACACACTCGTACTAACTGTTTTGCGTTTGTCTGTGCTGTTCTCAGAATCAGTACAGTCTTGCCAGAGCGCAGCAGTCATATAAATCGCTGGTGCAGATCCATGAAAAGAATGGTAAGATCTTCACAGTTGACGAATGAAATTAACATTCATATCTGGAAATGGAAAACACATCATGTTTAGATATTTCCATTTCAGTATCGTAAAAAAAAAAAGTTTGCCTGAGATCATCTGATTTAACCAATAAGGCATTATTACAGAAGAGGGATTTGTGAGTTTTAAAGAGCATGGAATGATCAGTTTGATTTCCTACGGATTAATGACAAGCCTTTAGTTCATGATACGTTATAAAAAAATATTCTTAACCCTCATAATGCATTCGGCTCTGTTTTGACCTGGAAGAGATGCTTAAAAATGCCTAACAAATGCATAGGTTTTATTAAAGGAATGAAACTTTGCAAGTGCTTTAAATGCACAATATACAGATTTTTTTACTATTATTATTTTTGTTTTTAAGTTACATGTTTCGTGTTCTGGTAAATTTTTGACCCGGGTATGTATGAGCACCATTAGGTGTCAAAAATACTTTTTCTTTAAATGATCTATGAAGTTATATTAGTGTCAAAAACTTTTCTAAAACTTTTGGATTGAATTTTGTTGATGAACATGAATATGTTGCCTGTTGACAAACCATTAGAGCATTAAAAACTGATCACTTTTTTCATCCGAAAGTGAAAGCGTGCAGGTTTCATGAATTTTTGAGCAATCATGAGCAAAAATTCAAAGGAATTTAATTCAGTTCCATTCATTTTAATGGAGTTAATATTGACTATATCAGATTATATGTTCTTATAATTTTCAGTTTTATTATTATATATTCAAATAAAATTTCCTATCAAATTTGAAAAAAAAAAAATCTCTTTATCTGTCTGTCTATCGTCTGTCTGTCTATATATATATATATGTCTATCTGTCTGTCTGTCTGTCTGTGTCTGTCTACTGTCTGTCTGTCTACTGTCTATCTGTCTGCCTGTCTATCTGTGTCTGTCTTCTGTCTATCTGTCTGTCTGTCTATCTGTCTGTCTACTGTATATCTGTCTGTCTGTCTGTCTATTGTCTGTCTGTCTGTCTGTCTACTGTATATCTATCTATCTGTCTGTCTGTCTGTCTACTGTATATCTGTCTGTCTGTCTGTCTGTCTGTCTACTGTCTGTCTGTCTGTCTGTCTGTCTTATATCTGTCTATCTGTCTGCCTGTCTATCTGTCTGTCTGTCTGTCTACTGTCTATCTGTCTGCCTGTCTATCTGTCTGTCTGTCTGTCTACTGTCTATCTGTCTGTCTACTATCTATCTGTCTGTCTACTATCTGTGTGTCTGTTTACTATCTATCTGTCTGTCTGTCTACTATCTATCTGTCTGTCTACTA